TAAAGAAAACTAGGTCAAGTGGTCGTTGAAATTTGTGGCAAGAGCTGCACTATTCTGAATCGAGTAAATAATTATTTGATAATTTTTTTTTTACCAGTAATATTCTAATTAATTTACTAAAGAGAGATGCTTGAACGCAAAATGCAATAAGTTGAAAGGAAAGACATTAACCATCAAGACAATCTACCATTTACTAATTGTTAAATAAATGATAGCACACTTGACCAACGCAAATCATTATCTATAAAAAATAATCGCCTAGTTGTAATAAATTGGTTTCGAATTCCTTCTTAAGGACTAATTGACCCTTTTTTTTTACTTGCGCATATATACTTTCTTTTGTTTCTAAATTTTTCGGCGCATATAGACTTTGAAAATCCAAGTGATGATAATTATGGTCCTCATCTCTACCCTCTAATCCATAATTAGGGATGGCCAAAAGAAAAGTATTGAACTGACTGGTTTTTCAACAGATAACGAATTAACCCTATTTACCTTTTGACTTCGAATCAAATTAAAAGGTTAATAAAATTACGATGAATTAATTAACAACCCTTCTTTAGCCATGTATGCTCCTAGTCATAAATTAAGTTTCCCTTCCAGTGAAGTGTGTGTATGTAAGAGCTTCTTTTGCATTTTTGGTCAATATGTAACAGTTTATTACACTACTTTGCAAGACATGATTACTTGATATTTTATATACAGGTTAGTACATTGGTATAAAGAGTTGTTATTAACATTCTAAATTCATAAAAAACGCACGAAATTTTTTATACGAATATCAAAACCCCCAATTCTATGAATATCCACACTTCAACAAAAACTTACTGATCATAAATTACCCATACATAATTGTGATCGCTGATCAATATATGGGTATATATGGGTGATAACCACTAGTTTTGTTACAGTCCAGCGGGAGACCCTTACTAGTAGGGGGAGTCCATATATACGTATATAACGTATTATGTAAGTATATATATATACATACTACATACATAAAAATTATTAAGCATCTGATCTGAATATGGCCATGAGAACCGAAAAAAATTCCAATGGCAGGTGAGTTCGGTTAATTAATCATTTGGCGCGTGGAGACTTAATAACCAACCAGCCCTTTAGGACAACACAATTAGGTGGTGTTGGTCAAGATGATGAAAATATATCAAGATGATCTACAGTGATGGAGTGACAGCCACTGTGGTCAACCTCCATATTTCATTTGAGCACCATTCATGCACATTCGAGGTCCTTAATTGAAAGGAAAAGGGAAGCCGGCCCTTTGGGTTGGTAGAGAAAAGGAGGGAATTAGAAGCAAGAGTTTCAAATTTAGAAACCCAAGTAAAGGATGTATTTTCAAAGCAGAAGGGTCCCAAACTTGGTACAAATTATCAACTTTCTATCCCCAAAACACCTTCCACTATGTTGCCTTCATGCTTAATTTCAACCCTGAAGTCCCAATACAAATCCAATGTAGAGGGAACATAAGCATAGCACATGTGTTTTTTTTGTCTTACAAATGTGTAAATATTTAATTTGTCTTCACCTAATGTCTAAGAATTCAAAACTCAAAAGTCTATTTCTCATGGTCATATTTTCATGGCTAGCTATACAGTAACTGGTTCATGCACAAAGTAGTGTTTGACCTTCTAACATATCTGTGTGTATATATAACGGTATCCAAACCCTAGAAATTCTAACATGCCTGAGACAACATATAGTTGATGTAACATTGTCCAAGTTTCTTTAAACAAAAGTTAGTGTATATCGAACATTGAGAAAATTTTAGCTAATTTCAGGGACTAAGATAAGGAGTTGCACCAATTTTAAACTCATTTTAACTATAAAGTTAATTGTAAATTAAGCGGTGCAATTAACTAGTCCTTTATATTCTTAACTGAATCTTTTCATAACCAATAGAATTTTATATACGGTAATGGTATAATAGTGATGTGATATAATTGCATTTTTATTAGCTTTAGAGTATTTAACAATTAATTAAAAGTAAATTCTAGTGAAGTAATGTCACCAAGATTTTCTCTTGATTGCAAATGCAAGATCCTGCCTGGAGCTGACATGCATGAACAAAATGAAGGATTGCTGTAATGACACTGACCCTTTCATCAAATATTTCTTTAAGTATAATTATATTTCTTTTCTTTGGAAATTATGACATTGACATTGAAGGGACTTCATCCTAGCCATTCATCCAAGGTCCTATTGAATTTATATAATAATTGCAAAAAAAACGAAAAACAAAAGTTGAAAACCCTCTCATAGCTAACTTCTTTAGTTCAGACATCCCATGTTTAGGGATCACATGGTGGGAATATTTTTAATTGGAAGATGTAAACATCATCGAGAGCGAGTGCCTTGATGCTTAATCAAATCTTTTGCGTCTAATAATGCCCATTATCCACTAATAACAAGTGATTAGCTAGGGGACCATTTGTTAATTTAATCAAGCCGACACCAATATATATACAAACAATCTTTAGGATTAAGATGCGATAAGATTCTCATACATGTTTCTTGTTGACAAGTGCTTTTGTTCCTTTAAACATCTCATTGACAAACATTCTCCTCCATGTAACACCAAATTATTATGGTCCATGTAGAAATATAAAATATCTCGATTACTGGAAACACATCATGTGTATAAATTACTATTGAATATGATTATTTTGTCCTTGACGATATACGCAAATCATTAGTCGAAGTCTAACAGGCTAATGGAACATATTCTCTACGAAGGCCCACAATCAACATGCCCCTGGGCCCAATTCCTCATCAACAGTCCAAGTCTATCGTCATGCGACCTATGCAGATTACTCTAATATGTAATTGGGTTTACTTATCAGTCTCTTAGCAGAGCAAGACTTTCCGATGCATATTCCAGGAATTTTAAGAAATATGCCTTGACCAATGTGGAGATTAGCCTGATTAGGTAACACTCTGCTAACAAGATCAATGAACCTGGATGCTAGGGTTAACTCCTCAATTCTCTATAAATAGCCAAGGTCAACCACTTTATTTCTGTAATCTATAACTCTCTCCATACGCTTATTACTTCTTACAGTTTTTTTGACTAAAGCATCAGATGCTCTTTGGTTGACACCAAATTGGTATAACTCCGTTTGTCTCTTTTCTTTATTTGTGTAAGTTTTTGATTCAATCTAAGGAGGAAATTTTCTCCCACGATCCATTTTCAAGGTTGGCCTATCTATGGTTGGGACTGAGACACTGCCCAGACTCCTATAAGAGGCAATAGTGGGGAATTTTCCACAATGGGTTAAAGCATAACAAAGCAATGCCGCATGGAGGTAGAAGGCCTACGGGTTGTGAACTTCTTTTCTAGGAAAAGAAGCAATGACGATATCTGGGGAATAAGCATGGGCTAACTTTGTGCTAGCACCCGCGGTAGTACAGAAGATGCAAGCGTTATCAAGAATGATTAGGCGTAAAGCTTTTGTAGGTGGCTTTTTAAGTCCACTGTCTAATTTGAGGGCTCAACTCTCGACAAACGGTGGAAACTACCAAGCTAAAGTACAGTAGGGGTAGAAGGAATTTTCGATGGAATGGTGAAATGCGTAGAGATCGGAAAGAAAACCAATGGCGAAAGCACTCTACTGAGCTAACACTGACATTGATAGACAAAAGCTAGCAGAGCAAATGAGATTCGATACCCAAGGTTTAAGATGAAAAGGAAATAAGATCTTGATCTAAATGCCGTCTGTTAACCAATTTTTTGGAAATTCTTTTTCTGATAATTGAATTGTCTTGTAGTCCTCTCTTTTGAACTTTAAGGTGTATGAAGTTTTATTTTTAATTCAAGTAGGGTGACAGAAACTCCATTTAACTTAAGTTGTTCTAGGCCAGAAGTAGACCTATGTCGGCAGCTGCATAACCCTTAATGCTTCATCTATTAAATAAAAAACAATATTGAACATATTTATCCATTATCCTGAGCGGATTAGCGGGAATCGAATCCATATCTTCTCCTTGGCAAAGAGAAACTTTCACATTCGACTATATCCGCATTATATATATTTTATTGAGTATGGGCCCGTTTGATAACTAGGTTAATTTGATGATATGATATGACAGTTTTATACTAATTTTCTTCTTTTAGCATGATCACTTAGTAAATATCTTAAACATTGAAAAACTAGTTAGCAGTTAAGCGCTCCCGTATAAGTGTATAGATTCAAAGGATTGTACGGTGCACGTGCAAGTGGATGCAATAAGCCGATACGTGGCTAGAGCATTTGAAAGAGAAAAGGAAATAATTTGGGTCGTGATGGGGACAAGTATGAATATCTTTAATCATTAATTTGGTCTTAATCATACTTTATGAACTACAACTTTAATATTATGCTCTTACATTGGAGGTTAGAAAACCAAGCATGGGAGATATCTTGGTCATGGCATGATGAGTTTGACTTTTGGAGAAATTTCCATTTGCTCAGTGGACCTAGCTATTCTGCTTCCATAAAAAATTCCACAATTAAGGCTCTCCATGGATGATGATCCAGTATTTGAAGCAAAGTATATACGCATATTTAATTAGAAAATGTTTAGGGAATAATATACTAAGAGAACTTCGTTAATTTTGGTCATACTACATGTGCAGAAGTTTAAATATGAATAAATGAAGAGGGCAAATAATATATTAAGAGATAAATCCGTTAATTTTGTTCAAACTACAAGTGCGGAGATTCAAACTTGAATGAAGAGACGAAAACATTCACCTACATAATGTTGTTTAATTAGATTGTCTGTTAGATGCATGCTTAGAACTTAAGTGGAGTGGGAAGGCAAACGGGGTTTTGAGAAAAGATTGGAAATAAAATTTGGCTACATGAGGGGCCCAAAGACCCTTTCTTGCCATGCGGTGCCTAGAACAAACAAACAAAGAAAGCAAAGCATGGCCAACAAGAAAATCATGCTCTCGTCACACCAGCATAACAAGATAGAGTGGAGAAATGACTTAACACAAATTCAAAAAGCTGTTTGATTTATTAAGTTATTGCCTTCAAACATCACCTCCCTTCTTTTGTCCCCCTAGGGTTACCAATGAGCCAAGCTCTAGCATGGGGTTTAAGTCCTCCAAGCCATGCAGAGAAGGTGAACTGGAATGGACTAACATGCCCTCCCTCTCTCTCTCTCTCTCTCTCACACACACCCCCACCCCCACCCACCATGCATAAAAGGAGGGATAAGAGCCAATGACCCCCTTACTGATTCAGATTGATGACGTGATGAGAGAGATAGAGACAAAGATAGAAATAGAGAGACATTACAACAGTTACAAAGGGGAATCTCTCCCTCAACTTCCATTATCGATGGTAGAGACAAACCATGAGTTCCCTCGTGGGGTTTCAGTTCATTAGTCCATAAGCGCGCTTGAAGCACAAAAAGCCTCTCCAACACACGCACGCAGACACACCAGACATACCTAAAAAAGGGAGGGATAAGAGTATAGGATCGCATTAAGAGACTTAATAAAACATTAGATTTTATCTCGAGTTCAATAAATAATAACTATTCTTGAAAAAATTAAATGGCAAGTGCAACAGGACTAAAGTTATAAGAAGCCTTGCATTGATATTTCCAAAATTATGTAAGATCAGTACAAAATTTCAAGTAATATAGATCTTCGCCTTCATACACATATAAAATGGAACAAAACGAGATGAATTCCGCTCCTGTATGATCTGTTTGAGTCCAACTACACATTTAGAACCTGTTTCCAAAAGTGGGGCACTGGAAACTCACTTGTGATATAAACACGTGACTATTCTTCTCTGCCTCTGCGATTCCTGATCTCATAATTCACTGGCTTCAGTTTTCTGTTTCTTTTGATTTCGCTTAGTTTCTTTGTGCGGTCTTCTGGTACGAGAAAAATGTAACTGAAGTTAATCAACTAGTGGTAGGGAGCTAAAAGCGTAAAATTAACACCTGATGCATATGTACAAGACATGATTGACCTTTCAAAACCATTGCATATCTTTTTGGCAGGTAAAAAACTTCTGGTAAAAAAAAAACCATCATGCTCATGCTTATGCTGAATCCGGTAAGGATTAGTATTTAAAGGATGATGGGGTTTGGGAGAGAGGGAACATCAAAAGGGAATTATGAAACACCAAAGTTATCCATGGGGGGAAATTGGCGTCCCGTTCAACCACTCATTGCCAGCTAAAAAACAATATCAATTCAGTTTGAAAAGAGTATTAAACTTTGGAGCCACCACATGCATTTGAAACTTAGTAAAAATCGACCCTCAATAAAATTTCATACGATAAACTTTATCAGAATTCCCGTGGTTCCACAAACTTGAGAAAGTAAGCATAAATCAGTATCAACAGCATATAAATACTACCAGCACAGAACCAAGACTCAATAGTGTTTCCTGCGGCATATTGTTGTCTGCATTACTAGACATACAATAATACCAAAGGCATGAAAAAAAACAGAACCACAAGTGAATAAATAGTCTTAAGAAAAAAAAGCGATCAGCCATTCTCACCCACATAAACATGTCCATGTACGTTTACATATGCTTTTAGTCATTTGCATACACACACATATACATATTACAACTCACAAGCATCATATTGTTACCAAAAAAATGAAGCAATACTGACCCTTGTTGTCTGAACTAACCTTTTTATTGGACCCTTTCTCGAATCAATACCAATACAGGCCATTATCTCTTCAAGACTCATAATATCACCAAGGTTATGTTTTAATAGATTGCAACTTCCCATAAATGCAGCAGATTCTGGCGGTGCCAAATCCTTTACCTCATCTTTGACGCATTCCATCAGAACAAATGCTGCACAAATCCTCAGTGATGAAATGAATAAAGTCAGAAAATTGTGCGCTTCTAAATATAAAAACTCAAATACAAAAAGTTCTATTACTAGTTATCTAGTAGCTTGAAGCTTGATATTTACCAAGAGGTAACATTAAAAGGCATCCAAAACAGGTAGGAGGGATATTGGTTTCAGGATAATGAGGCCTGATCAAATCCCAAACCAGAAACACCCACGCAAACCAAACACCATCCCGAATGTGATATGTAATGGAGGTATGAAACCAAACCTTCCCAAACAAAACAAGCAAAGCCACACCAAATAAAGCAAGAATTTGCTCTTTCCTTCTGCTAATTTCAGTATTTCAAAAACAGAAAAAGCTCATAAGGAGGATTATTCGAAAAGAAGGAAAGGCAAATCCGAGTTGCACATCCAAAGCACAAGTACAAGAAAATAAAGCTAGCAGCCACAACTACATGAAACTCTGTCATAATAAAACAACTACACGAAACTGTATGAAAGTCAAGCCTAATTGACAGCCCTAGAAAATTATTCTCAAGTATATTCTGAACTGTATGAAAGTGAAGCCCCTTATTGTGCACTTGTTTATTGATATGAAAAAAGCTGCAGATTTGAGGTCGGATTTCATTTGATCTTCACTTGGTTGTTAAAAGAAAAGGCACAAGTAGCCCTTTTCGTCTTTCTTAAGCTGAGGCCTACTGTGTCTTTTCTTGAGTCCAGCCTCCGTGCAAGGCAATTACAATATAAAACCTACAGATCTTTTCCAAGTGAAAAACCTGAGGACAAACCACCAGGGCTTACTTTAATTACGAAGTTGAGAAACAAGTATAAATATCTTATTTCGCCTCTCACATTATTCTCAGCAACGCAGTTACAAGCCACACATAGTTTCCAGCAAAGAATGTCACCAATTAACAGAAAACACATTTCTCATTATTGAAATTGGAAATCCATAATAAACCAGTGAGCTATAATTTAAGTGACAACTACTGCAGAAAAGACAAGCAAAAGTTCTACCCCTCAATCCGAAACCTTTATTGTCAATAAATATGGATGATACCACAAATCCCCTCATAAGTAAACAGAATTGACGGTTAAAGCATCAACTTTTGGCTTTCATTGTTGAAAACATAAACCAGCCTCAATCCATCCAAGGATCATATAAGACCGCTCATAGGCTTCGGCTTCTGATGCAGATGCTAATCACAATTTTTAACCGTATCACTCATATACCAAATCCTTAACACACAATCAAAAGTTGGAACACAAAGTTTAGAACTTTATGCACAACGCAATCAATAAGGTATTTTACTTTCTTTATTACTCCAATCAAGAGCTCAATTCGAAATTCAACAGCCAAGCAAAACAAAAAACATCGAAACAGATAAAGCTACCGCCTATCGGACATACCAAGAGCTCGAAGCACCTTGAGATCAAACTTTTGACCAAGTTCATCGCACCCAATCATCCTTGCACGATGAAGAACAATCCTTTTTATGCTAATCAACATGTCCTGCCATAAAATTGTGTGTTTAATTCAAATTTTTTGACCCCGTTAACCATAAAGCTCTAATCTTTAACGTCAACTTGTCTACTTTTCTATGTACAATTCGATATGAACAATGAAAATTAACAAACGAATTCATAATTTAAATTTACCAAAAAAATAATAAATCAAGAAATTAAGTATGTAAATAATACTTACAAGTTCGGACTCAGAGAGCGAGCAGAGCCAGCTCACATCGTCAACCCTGTTCTGCCCTAATATCCCTTCCATCGTCAGCACGAACTGATTTTATTTACCGGCACTGCCGAGCCTCCGCAGAGCAGACGTTTGGGGAGTTGGCGCACACTGTGGGAGTTTAGAGAACCCTTTTCTCTTAAGTTCAATTTACGGAAAACCCCCCGAAGGTTTTGGAAATAACACTGACATCCTTGAGGTTTCAACTAGTTTCATAAAACTCTGTTTCGTTGAAGTCATCATGAATTTTTACCTGACAAATTTAACCTCAAAGATTAAGCTTACACGCTCCTTTAAGTATATTTGTGTTTTCACATTAGCCTCTCGTTCATACCCCTTAAGTATATTTGTGTTTTCACAAATAAAAATAAGGTTGTGAACAACGCTACCCGTTATTTGGATGAAGAATCTCTTTCTTCTTAACCCTTTTTTTATTCTACTTCAATGATTACGGTTTAATTATATTAATTTTTTATATTAATTTTTTTTATAAAAATAATAAGATAAAAAATAATGCACGAAAAGAGAAAGAGATCAAGATGGAACGAGAGGGAAGAGAATGTTTTATTAACAATAAAACTATTTTTCGACCCAAAACCCTGCTCTCTCAACACACTCGATTTCCAGAATTCCTTCCAAAAATACGACTCAAGAATCTCATTGTTAGCTCTATAATTCAAACTTCGTATTGAAAATGTGAGTTCCGGTTTATTTTCTGTTTGTTTCCCGGGAAAATTTCACTTCGGCGGTTTCTAACGCACCACAAGGTTTTTCAATATTCAGGTCGAGGATTAGGATTAGCTGTGAGGTTGCGAGGAAGGTTGGGGATCCGGAGATTCCCCGGCCGTGGAGCCGGCATTCGAAGAAGAAGGAGGGGAAAGGGGGTGGAGGCGAGGAGAAGAGGAAGAAGGAGAAGCGCGGGGGCAGGGGCGGGGCGAAAAGCGGGAGTCTTGAGGTGGAAGATGAGAGTGGTGATATTAAGCTTCACGAGTTTTGATGTAGCCGAGGGCTAAGTCGAAATTGTGGGCGAACGACACGGTGGTAGCTCCTGTGGCTGACAAAATTGGGAAGAGCAAAAAGGAAAGTGAGGAAAAATCAGGAGCTGAGAAAATTGGAAAAACCAAGAAGGAAAGTGAGCAGAAATCAGTTCTGGTGGATATGGAGGAGGCAGAGAAAGGTGCTAAGAAGAATGATAAACGCAATGTAGCTAAGGACGATGTTGTTTCGGATATGGATTACTTCAAGAGCAGAGTGAAGACTGAATGGTCGGATTCCAAAAGCAGTGAAGAAGATGATAATGAGGAGGAGGAGGAGGAGGAGAAAGAGTTTCGAAAAGTCAATGAGGAGGAGGAGGAAGCATGGTGTGAGCAAAGGTGATTGCTTCGGGAGAAACTCAAGTGATTGCAGAGACCAAAATGTCTCTTACAAATGCTGGTATAAATGTAGAATCTTTAGAGAATTATGCTGCTGGGAAAACTGATGGTGTGAAAAGAAGCAACCATGTTATACTGGTGAAGAACTTGCCATATGGTTCTACTGATGGTGAACTGGCAAAGATGTTTGGGAAATTTGGGAATTTGGAAAACGTTGTTCTCCCGCCGACGAAGACATTGGCCTTGGTATGTATTCATGTGTTCTTCTATCAAAGACTTTTTCTTATTTTTATTTAGTTTACAGCAGATGTGCATTTGCTAGGTTGATGTTAAAAAAATGTTTACAGTGTTTTCATCTTGTATTTAGGTTCTAGTAAAATATATTCTGGAAATCATGTTTCTGACTGCTAATTAAAAGGCAGTTAGACTTTCTACCTTTCACATTTCAGTTCAGACATCATTGTGATGATGAACACTTGACCTTGCCAATCATAATTTCATCGATTGTTTTGTCAACGGTTTGTTCAGTTCTTGCCCAACCTCCCGATATAAAATTGGCGTTCTAATCAAGGTATTGAACCTTATTTAATTTTTCTAATATAGTGAGTTTTATTTAAGAAAAGAGGGATGAGGGAGATACCAAAAAAAAAAAAAAAAAAAGGTTTTTGATAGGTATATCAATTCTTAAGTGACCCTACAGTAGATCAGTCGGTATGAAGTTGTTCACTGATTTGGAGAGTGGAGTTTTTGACTTGTAGTCTGATAGTATCTGGTAGTTTGCCGGAGTTGGAACAAAGTTTGACCATGATCATTCAGACTAAGGCAATGAAAGGGTGGAAGTGACACGGTTCTCCGAATCATTAAGATTTTTTGAGGAGTAGAAAATAGTTTTGTAATGTTTTATGAAATTGGACACTTTGCTTTTGGTTTTTTAATTAGTTGAGTTTTTCAACTTCTCTTTGACACTTGGTTAATCATGCCTCATCATGTACTTTTATTCTCCCAATCTTTTGATACTACAGAGAGGAAGAAACTTCTAGATTACTATATTAGTCTACTATGATGCTGTGTTGTTAAAGAGTGATTCTCTACCAATTATTTTCTTGAATTATCATTCTTCAGGTTGTTTTTCTTGAACCTGCTGACACCCGAGCAGCTTTTAAAGGTACAAGCGCTACAAGTAAGTGTTGAAAAATCTTGTATGTATGTAGGTTCCATCTTTCATGTTTGTATTCTCTTTATGGGGGTGGGGGCTACTTATATTCTCCTAGTTTAGAAACGAGCTGGTTTTTATTTGCTTCCTTGGGGTCAAATACAAGATACATAGTATAAAAGAGTGTAAAGCAGATACCTATTCACTTCAATGGCTTACTTATTTTTGCTTCTGGTCTCTTTGCCGTTGGGTCAATGACAGAATGAATTCTCAACAAATGTAAAATAAGGCCCAGAACTATACCTCATGTCAATTGAAAAGTACCCTTGATTCGACTTGGTATCTTTATGCATAAGTATATGAGTTTTTCCTGTAGGATATCTGTTGAGGCATATTATTAGTTGCAATAAAAATCTTTTTGTTACTCAGTTATGTCAGAGAATAAATATTCTTTTCCCCATGTACAATGATACAGGGATGGTCCTTTATATTTGGAATGGGCTCCTGGCAATGTTATTAGTCCAAGTTCAACAACTGGCAATGTTCTTAGTCCAAGTTCAACAACTGAGAGCATTGAAAAGAACAATGCTGTTGTTGGTGAGCATGATGTCAAAAGGGTTATGTTAGAGCAGTATGTGGGAGGAATCGCTGATGTGGATGCGGATCCGGATAGAGTTGAGGTTGGTGTTTGCGTGCTTTTCTTTTTTCCATTAGTTTTATTTTTTCTTCCTCATTTGTCTACACAACTATTCATATGACAAACAAACTTGGTGTGCCCACATCTTTACTTCCTAAATGAGTATTCTCACAATCCTTTGCACACAACGTTTTGGTGTTTAGACATGATTAGGACAATTAGTATTGCAAGGAGAATACCACTTTTAGCTGGGATCCAACTGACCATACTTGATTATGGAGACACTAAATCCTTTTAAGTGTTAATCGATGTGAGTTTATAATGCTGCCTTAGTTAATGGCTGGTGTAACCATCCTTTGAGCGTTTATATACATGTATTGTGTATTGTGTATATATGGTTTGTGTTACCTTGTTATTTGTTCAATTGATCTGGTTGGGCAACTACTTTTGCAATAGGTAACTCTTTTTTATTTAATTATTCAGTTTCATCATCTAACAGAACCCATGCAAAGCATTGTTCATGTAACTGTTACAAGACAAAACTCTAGTTTGGTGATGAGAAATTCTGCAATTTTCTTGCGTTTAACTGTCATTTCAAGTTCAATTTTGACGAAACTTAGTTGATTATTCTGTTATAAGTTAAAGCTGGTAACCTTTGGAGGTTTCCTTTAGATAGCTTTACATTTATGCTGCCGTTTCTTGTCTACGAATTGTTGACTCCTCGCTTAACCTTTTGTCTTGCCAATATAATATTTGTTTTGTCCTTGTTGTGTAACATTCTCCCGTCACGATCTCTATATGTCAAGAACCTGAGCTTTAAGACATCGGACGAGAGTTTGAAAAAGCCTTTTAGTGAAAAAGTGAAGGAGGGAAAATTATTAAGTGTCAAGGTAATCATCCGCTGCGTAGAAGCCGTACTTGTATTTGCTTGCTGTATTTCTCATCTATATCATCTTTCTGTATGTGCAGGTAAAGAAACACTTGAAGAACGGGAAGAACATTTCAATGGGGTTTGGTTTTCTGGAGTTTGATTCTGTGGAGACAGCTACAAATGTTTGCCGGGATTTACAGGTGAAGCCAGAATCTGGTCAAAATTATTTGCATTCAGTATGCAATTGTGAAATTCATTGCAACTAATATTTTACCATTTTCTGGGGAACGATTTTGGACGGGCACTCTCTTATTTTGCAACCTTGTCATGCCAAGAAAGAAGAAGTGCCAAAGAAAGTTGACAAGGATAAAAGTTCTACAAAACTACTTGTGAAAAATGTAGCTTTTAAGGCCACAGAGAAAGAACTGAGATAGCTATTTAGTCCATTTGGTCAGGTAAAGTACTGACCTTTGATGAGTTACTGGATTCCGGATCCTCTTAACATTTTCGTGCAGAATTTGTACTTATGACCACGTCATATCATACCTTGTTTGATTCTACTGTAATTCTTAAACGGTAAATTTTAGACAATAGATATGTAATCCCGTGAACCCTAGGGCAATGTTTTAGCCATCACTGTGACTGCAGCAAGCGTGTCCTTGCCCCCTATGGCAATATGGTGTTCATATGATGATAGACAACCTGACTTAGTACACCAATGTATTGTTCTTCAGTAATTGACTTTAATTTCTTCTTATATGGCAGATCAAAAGTTTACGGTTGCCAATGAAATTTGGACAGCATAGAGGATTTGCATTTGTGGAGTTCATCACAAAGCAAGAGGCCGAAAATGCCCTTGAAGCGCTTTTGAGCACCCATTTGTATGGTCGGCATCTGGTAAGGCATTGAAACTTATGTAGACATGTTAGTTCTCTTTTGTAAAGTAAAATCAGCCTATATATGACTGCTTGCTATGAACTCCATGTACGAGCGAAAACAGCAGCTCAGTTTGCAGATGAGCAAAATGGGGTTTCGAGGAAGAGGAAGCACGTGGCCACCTCGGACGAAGGGAAATTCAAGTTTGAAAGACTCGATTAAGATTTCAGGTTGGTGTGTACTACGTGTTAGATGATGATCCAAGTTGCAGTTTTCATTCGTTATAGGTTGAAATTAGTTTTAGTTTTGTTAGGCTAGCCCCAGTTTTGCTTTGATGGGAACTGGGCGATTACAGTTTTGTTATCATACATGTTTTATGTAAATCAATGTTTTCAAAGGCTTGCCGCCTCTGTTTTGAGGGAGTGGGCAGAAGGCGCCACCAGAGCTGCCTAGGCACGCCTCAGGGGATTTTTTTTTTTTTTTTTTTCTGATTTTAATTTTTTTATATAATGGATATGTGTGTTGTCTGCGTGCATTGTTATATGTATACTCATTGTGTTTTTCATCCTCTATTTTATATATATATATGTATGTATATATATAATATGTATATATGTAAATGTCTATTTATAATATATGTGTGTGCTCAAAGTAATTATTGATTAATAGTTTTTTTTTTAATATAATATATGAGTATGCTTAGTATATGTATATAAAAATTTAGGCCCAAAGCCTCACGCCTAGACTGGGCTATCCCTCTTATGCCTTGCCCACGCCTCACGCTTTTAATACATTGATGTAAATTAACACATGCTACTTTGATTGCATAAATGTTCGGCCATTCACCACGCTAAAGATGAACACCCGTAATTAACGATCCAGTTGCGAAACAATTTACGTTGGGAAATCCGCTTTTAGGGTTCCGGAATTGTATGTTGCCTCCGCTTCTGTTTGTCAGTCGACTGGCACCAGAAGAAGAAGAAAGTAACATACTAGATGCTCGACGTAATTCTTCGTGTCTTCGTAGTGACTCTAGGCTTTCTCAAACTTGAGGCATCATGGACATGAACTTTGAAGATTTAATCCGAAAAATGTCAATTGAATTTTGAAATTACAAAAGTTCTCTCTTACATAAATTGGGGATCAACACTAGTTTCGGAGACCAAATAGAATTTGATCAATACTACTTATTTCTTAATATCTGTAGTGTTTATTTGGAAGTGTTTTTAAAATACTAAAATCGGTTTTAGAAAATATGTTTTTGGGTTCCAAAATCACTTGAAATGTTTTCTACAAGAAACACATAACTTGTGTTTTTATCAAGGAGCACTTTAAGTATACTTTCATGATTTGTTTACATTTTTATTAAGAATTGGTTTCAAAGATATTTTCACTAAAAATACTCTCAGCTATTTTGAAAAAACTTCCAAGCGAGCTCGTATTCATAATTCTTACATGGTCCCATCATATAAGTTGATCAGGGTCCCCTGTTCATTTATGGAATTTTCTTTTTATGAAGAAAAAATTTATTAAAGTTTAAAACCTTTAGTACAACCGTTTTCCATACAATTAAAATTAAAGTCTGTCATAGTCGAAATCGAAAGATAATATTCCCAAAAATAAGGGTTGGCAACGGTGAGGCCTATATGAGCTAATGCGTTTGGCATGAAATTAGCCAAGTGGAGAAAGATGTTTGGATGCCCCTTGACATCTTAAACCTATCATAAAGGATGTCAAATAGTTGGTTTCTGGACTTTTTAGCATATTAGTTGAAAACATATTTATAGGACGGTGAATTTTTTAATATTTTGAATGTTTTAGCCCCTCGTATCCCTTTGGCATGCTGACCAAGTTTTGCTAAGTATAATCCGCTTGTTAATTAGAGACAATGTTACGGCATTTTCGTGATAAATGGAGCCTTTTGGACCATGGCTGCTGGAGACTCAAAGCATAATTAAGCACTAATATACTAATTTTTAAGTTTTCTTTCCTCCCATTCTTTCCTCCCACGTAAGCACTAGCTAACTGGTAATTGATTAACCACCAAGGTTTGACCTTGTGGATGAGACTAATTACAGACTCGTATTCTACTTAGTATGTTTTGAGTTCGATTTCTGAAGCTGGTGAATCACACTATAGTGCCCATGGTGAGGCTGGAATGTCATGAGTCTTTTTGTCTTCATAAGGGTGGACTATCATATCGAAGTCATCAGCTGGTCCTATTTTTCAAAAATAAAAAACTAGTAAGTGATTAATTTTGAGAGCTACTAGACCCACCCTATTATCTTATTTTCCCATCCGTATTATAATCCCACCCACCATAAAAAGTTAAAAAATTAAAATGCTATTTTCCCACCCACTATTATTCCCAAAATAACCTTTAATATATACATACATATGAAATTATAAAATTGTCTCTTAAAAAATATAACAAATAATATGTAAATAAAAACCACTAAAGTTTGCAAATTCAAATGGAAACGACAGAGGTATCCAAATTCAAAAGAATTCAACAACGACAAATTTAAAAATACGATGGACAAATTCAAATGACCTACACACAAATTATTCTTTTACCTTTTCAATAGAAACATAATCTTTTATCTCTTCCGTATAAGCGTCATCTTTCATCTGTTCAATGAAAAAGTCATCTTCTAAGTTCATTGATAATTTTTTTACTTTCTCTGAATGAAAGGAAATGAAAATATGAGTTAGGGTTTAAGGTAAACAAATCATCTCCCATGCCCAAATTTTTTTTTTAAATTGAGCAAAACAATATAATTAATGTCCTTACTAGTCTTTTGTAAATGGACATATTTGTAATTAAAAATATTCATTAAAAGGTGGATAGGAAGATAAGACATTGGAGTGGGAATAACATCACTCTTAATTTTTTAGGTTATTTGATATGGTTACTACGTAGTACGTAAAGTAACTTGAAAATTGCCAGGCTCTAGTAGAAAATATTTGTCTATACTTACGGTTAACTTATGTCTAAATCAAGAAGGTTTCTTCCTTGTTTCTAGGTGATGATCCGCTTCCTGAGCATTAATACCAGGTCCAAGAACAACCCAGATCGATCACATAAACTTGTCAACTATTTGGTTTCGTGCCAAATTCCATAAAAAACCAAAACTTAAAAGAAAGAAACTCGAATACTGCAATCACAATAAAAACACAATGGCTGATGATCATGCCAAGGCAGGATGTGAGCGTGTGTTTAAGCGCTTTGATTACAATGGCGATGGCAAGATTTCATTGACTGAGCTGGCCGATGCACTTAAAGCACTTGGCTCTTCTTCGCCGGATGAAGTCCGTCAGAGAATGGAGGAGATCGACAAGGATCGCGATGGGTTCATTTCACTCGAGGAGCTGTTCGATTTCCAACATGCCAACCCTGATTTGATGAAGGAAGTCATCAAGCAATTGTAACAAAAGAAGCCTTATAAAATGTATTATGTTTATTGACCACATCCCTCACAAAAGTTTAATTCATACAAATCGGTCTTGAAAGCATGGTGAGAAAACGTGGTAAGAATATGACATGTAGCGTTACTCAATTTTATTTTTTTATTATTTTTTTATATAAATTGATTCAAACGTTAAATATGTATGACCTTAATTACTCACAATGGTGAGAGTTTGTACTCTAATCATTCTAGAAGTTCATTTACATATTTATAAGGCCTTTTGGGTTTCATTCATATACCAGCTTCTAGCTTTCATGTGCTTATTAGCCATAAATTTTTCTTTGTGACCTCTACCATTGCATTATGTTGCCTATTCATTCACAGAACACGTGTTTATTTTTATAATATTATAGCCCGAGTCTATAAATTGAACTTTGTTGTCCACTAATATTAAGAAACTTTTGATTGTGATCATCATTTGTGTTACTAATCTACGCGTTATAAAATAATTGATATTTTATGAACATATGATGAACATAATAATAATAATATTACATGATAATAAAGATTATAACACGTGATTAATAACATTATGTTACGACACCTTTTCATTTGTGTGTGATGTATCTTCCTTTCATTTTTTAATTTCCAAATACCATTTTTAATGAAATATATAGTTTCAAAGTAAATATGTCACGGTTTTGCAGCTATTGATGAATAAAGGCAATAGCCTATGTAGCTTTTGACCACTACAGATTGAAATTTCATCTGGCTAGGACGAAGTTAGTCAAACCACTTGAAGATAGTGATCGAGTTATGCTACAAATCCAGTACAATTCGTCAAATAATAGACAGTGAGTTATCCCATACTACTATTGCTGCTCCCCCTACAGCGCAAATCATCACAAAAGCCAAAAATACACAGAAACATTGACTTCAACATTTTAACTAGGATTTTTATCATAAATGGTCCATGAAATTAACGCTTACCATCAACATGGTTCCTAAAATTGAAAATCAGTCAATGTAGTCCCTGAAAATAGGTGTCGCAAATCAATGTGTTGCTTCTGTTACAATTTTGTTAAAAATTCTATTAAGCGTTGATGTGACACATAAATGGACCCACGAGATTTACGGAATTTTATCACAAATGGTTCCTGAAATTGATTCACACTATCAAGATGGTTCCTAAGATTGACCCACATTATCAAGATGGTCCCTAAACCTATTTGTAATTTTATTTAAATTTAATTAGACTTTGTGATCCATTTATGTGTCACATTAGCATATAATAGAATTTTTTACAGAATTGTGACGGAATGACTACATTGATTTGGGACACTTACTTGTATGACTACATTTATTGATTTTCAATTTCAGTGACCATTTTGATGGCACATGTCAATTTCAAGGACCATTTTCATGTCACAAATAAATTTTAAGGACTATTTGTGAGAAAAAATGGCTTATGAGACCATTTATGTGCCATATCAGTACTCAACGAAATTTTTAACAACATTGTGATGAAATGACCACATTGATTTGAGACACCTATTTTCAGGAACTGTATTGATTGATTTTCAATTTAAATTACCATTTTTGTGATAAAAACCTTTTAATAATTATTTGTGCCTGTGAGTTTTCGTCTCTTCAAGAATAGGAGGTTAGGGTGGCTTATTTTGTCCTACTACAACTTCTTTTAAAAATTTAAATGATATAAACGTAAAAGAAAGGAATTGTACTAATATAGAGTGATGTTATCCACACATCTCTTTTAACTTTATACACCTCTTTCAATTTTTGATCGTCGGATTGAGTGAATTAAAAAGGATAAAAATGACAGAAATTAACAGAAGTGTGTAAAATGTAAAAAGAAACGTGTGGATAACACCGTTCATAATATGTTATTCATGTAGAGATAATCATCAACATCCAAGAGTAAAAAAGAGTCCCGCATGCTATGTGGGTGTGTAATCCCCCTAACCATGACAAAGGTTAGAGAACTTAATTTCCGCTAGCTACATATAACTGTATAGCAGTGATGGATTAAGAACACAGTCAACCAAGCTACATATAACTGTATAGCAGTGACGGATTAAGAACACAGTCAACCATTGGTCTGAGCTCATCCCAGTTTCCATTCGATGTTAACATCTCTTCATTCGGAGTATTCGGAAAGCTCATGCACGAGTTTGGATTGTTTACGTCGTCATTTAAGCTCAGCCAGCCTAGGGAGAATTGGTTCCCTTCATACGTGTGAACATTATTGAATAGAGGACTCCTCTCAGATTGATCGTTAGCAGCCAAAGCACCAAAAGTTGCATCTGACTCAGAACTGCATGTTTTAGAAGTCACACTTTGCTTGGGATTCAAGGTTGTCATACGCCAATTATTTGATGTATACTTTCCACACGAAGTATGATCTCGCTTCAAAATCCGGCAAAGTGTCCAAACTTCCTGCAGTCATATGAAAGAATTAATCAATATATATTGATCGTAGTATTTTCTCAACTAGATAATCTAATATGTTGTATTGTTAAACCATCTAGACTATTAATTATGTCGTTCAATGTGCGATCCAAATTCAGAGTTTGTGGAGTACGTAATATGTTGAATATTGAGTAACAAATGTACAACTAGGAGAATTTAATTAATAGTACTGCAACTCGTTGTTTAAGATGAATTAATCTTACAGCTTCTTGAGTACTGTTCTTGATAGAAGTATCATTGTTTGAACTAGCTGGAAGACGAAACTCGTGCATCATCCAATCAGTTTTGGTACCTTTTCCAGCACTTCCTCTGTAGTAGACTAAGGATTTCTTCAAGCCAATACAATTGTGAAAGTCTCCAACCGAATATACAGGCTTGTCAATGCCAGTAGCTTTCCAAAACCCAGATTTTGTAACCCTATTAGGTCTTATGCTATTTCTGTATTTCCTTCCCCTTCTGCAAAAGAAGTACCACTCCTTGTCCCCACTCTCTTCTACATTTCAACAAATGGAGAAAAAAAACTTGAGTAAACACAAAAAATAATACGTAATTTCACTACACGTATGGACTGATCAATTCTATCCATGCTTTACTCACTAGTTGTATCTACATAAAATCATGAGCATGCATATACGTTGGGAACAATATGTAGTAGTTAGAAATTGAAGGGATGGATCGGAGGAGCTTACTTGGAAGATCCCAAGGGTCATATTTGTAAATATCGACATGCTTGATTAGGTCAAGACGAATAGGTTTGTTCTCCACCTTCCTCCGAAGGTAAAACCTCACCAGCTCTTCATCAGTAGGGTGAAAGCGATACCCAGGAAGCATATTGGCATCTTGATCCTTATAAATCATGTTATTTGAATCACTAGCACTCATCCTCTTCTGATCGACCTCCTCCATTTTTCTCTTTAGCTTCTTTCTCTTGGTGTTTTCTGATGATCCATTCATATTTGAGGATTTAAAGAAAAGCTTTTACGGGTGAAAAGAGTGATTTGGTCAAAAGTCGTTTGCATTGACTGACAGTTATATTGACATTGTCACTTTTGGGTGGAGGGCAAAGGGTTGAGAGACTTGGGCGTTGAGTGAGATGTTATGGAAAGATTTTCAGTGTGTAGAAATAAGGCAAAGTACATCAATAGCATTATTAGTTAGAAAAAATCAAACCGTATTTATGACACATGGAGAATTTTTTTCCATCTTGTCAGATGTTTGACCAAGCTACAGAATTATTAAAAAAAAAAAAAAATATGTGACGCACAGGCTCTGAAAATGTTTGATAAATTAATGGAATTTGGCCCACAGAGGAACAAGTTTGACCAAATCTACAATTCCTAAGCTCTAATTTAATTTTCATTCAGAGCAAAGAAAGCATGTAGCCGAAATAACCCACTCAGAATGCCAAACAAATTGGCGCAACTATGTAAACCTCAAACCTGTGTTTTTCACTTATGCTTCCCAAGTGAGAATGTAAAACTGGTTTTCAGTTACTATGTCAAATATTCAGCATGCTATATATATCATGCAGTAATGTCTCATCATTTGGAAAACTATATGATAATAAATAGGACAAAAGACGTTAATACATGATGTTAATGATTTGATATGTGTGTATTTAAACTATTTCGAAATGTGGTTCAATGATTAGAATTATTTAGTTTTTAAATTCTCGTTTAAAATTAATTCATGCAAAAATCGTCTTCGGTGTCGGCATTTTCATTTCTCACTCTTAGTCTTATGCAATTTTTTTTTTTTTGAACTATTATTGGCACTTCACGTACGTCATTATGCCACTCTCAAAAGAAAAAAAGAATAAAAACAAGTGTAAATGTTATGTATATTTGTATGTAAACTATGATTCCCCTTCCCAGTATCTTTAAGTCTCAATGTCTCATGCAGTCGAGCTGCATTCATGTCTAAATTGTGCAAAGAATGAACAAAAGGTAATAGAGCTCTCATTGGGTTCCATGTAAAGTTGTTTACTCCGTCTCACGTTCATACATGTAACCGAAGATTAAAAACTTTGATCTGGAAAACTTGATTAGTATCTTTACAAAAGGTCAACTTTTTAGATTGACTTTTAATCAACACCCTTAATTACTTGTAAAATCATACACGAGAGATTTTTCAATGTAACCATTATACAAGATGGTACACTACGTGTTCTTATATAAATTGTGAGATATATGTGTTAAAAAGTTAAAAACTTAAAAAATACAAATTTTTACCACTTACATAAAAACACGTGATGTACCATTCGTGTTCCGTCACAATAAAAAATTTCTCCATGCAAACATTGAATTTTCATACAGTGCATTTTTGCTCACCATCATTTAATGTAATGTATGCTTACTATCCTATTTATCACCATTAGATGAATTTAAATTTTGATATTTGTGTTTATTCACTAAGCGAATCTCGAAATTCAAACTCACCTAACGATCATAAATAGAATAGTAAGCATACATTACTTTAAATAGCAGTGAGCAAAAAGCTCCCCGTTGGCTGACGGTATTTCTCCCGCGGCAGGCTGCCAAGATTGATTGACTGGACTCGCGCTCAAGCTGGACAACAATGGTCAACATATAGGAAAAATAAATGCACTCAGAATGATAACACCGATGAGATTTTATTGCAGAAAGATAATTATATTTATAAATTTTAGTCCAGGTTCGATCATTTTCTCTTCTAACAACTTAACAATTTAATCCACTAATGATATTCTTTATCTAATAAAAATGATATATCCATATATACTTTAAAACAAAATGTTAAAATTTTCACATTGGAAAATTGACAAACAAATAAAAGAAATTGTTGAGAATGAGCCCCACATTAATGGTGAGCAGCCAAACCTGCTTATAGGTACATGCATAATCCCTCCTCTCATCAATAATGTGAGATTCATTTTTAATACGCCTCCTCAAGTGTAGTGAATTTTCAAGCGTAACATGTATACAACATAATGGGGTGACGTGGAGCGCGTGTGGTTGTTTGGCTTCACACGTGGGACAACCAGCTCTAGTACTATGAAGTTGAGGTTCTACTATAAAACCAATTGGCAATCTGAGGATTCGCCCAACCTATTTATAAACCCATGTAATGTCTCTCCTCTTATCAATGTTGGACTCATTCTCAACAAAAATATGATTCTATTCATAATTACACCGAAATCTTTTAAGATAAAACTCAACTTTAATTAGACCAGCACTAGCAAGTGGTTAAGTTGAAGCGATGTTGGAACATTGACTCATGACAACTTATTTACAAACTCATGTACCTAAATTTAATATATATATATTACTAGAATTCTCAACAATGAATATAATTAAAAAAATTAATAAAATAGTTAATCAACTTGATCAATGATCGATGTTAATGTTCATAGTGTATGTATAAGTACTAAGAACACATATTTTTGTGTATATAATTGATTTGTTAAAGTCAAAGCTTCTAAAGTGCTTATGTATATAATTAAAGAATTAAATATAATCCCAACTTGCGAAACTATAGTTCATCTCATCCTCTATAAAATTAAAAACAGAGCAGTTTTTTTTTTTTTTTTTCAATCCAAAGGCCTTTCAAGGTACTAAGAATACGAGTGTCACAAAACAATTGGTTCAATACTTGAAAAAAAAACTTTTAATCAATTATTTTATGACACTTGGTGCGATGTGATTTTTCGCACTTTTATAAAAAAATTCCTTCAAATATTAAAAATGAGTGGGTGAGATGACGAGTGTCACATCCCGGAGCCCCCATCACACCTTGGACTTGACTCCACGGTAGCACGATATTGTCTGCTTTGGGCCCTGACCACACCCTCACGGTTTTGTTTCTGGGAACTCACACGAGAACTTCCCAGTGGTCCCAGTGGGTCATCCATCCTGGGATTGCTCAGGGACGCTACTCGCTTAACTTCAGAGTTCCTACGAAACCCGAAGCCAGTGAGCTCCTAAAATGCCTCGTGCTAGGTAGAGATGGGGATATACATATATGGCTTATAGGATTCACTCCTCTGAATGATGTGGGATGTTACAACGAAATCAAAGATTGTCCATCTTTCCAATTAGAAGTGCGTTGAAATTTTTACTAAAAATTTAAAATGTTTCTTCAAAACCAATTTATGCTCAAAAATACTTTTAGTAAAAGTACTTCTAGCAGAAGTATATTGAAACTTTTACTAAAAATGCAAATGGATTTTTAACTCTACTTCTAGTATAGATAGAATTGTCTTTGGTAATCTGCAAGCGTTTTTAGTTATTAAAAGCACATTTAAACTTATCCTTAACTCCATGTATAATTTACCTAGAAAAACTATATAACCAAATATTTGCATGATCAAATTTATGACCTAAATTAGCAAAGTCGTCTATGTATTGTTCATCGTCCATATTTTCTACTTTGTGGTTTTTTTTTAATTTTAATTTTTATCTATGACCTTTTGCTCACGTCACCATCACCTAGGCATAAACCTGCTGGGAGCTGGAGTCAACGGTTCACATTAATATGTTGATATTGACCAGTAGGAACATGACCACAACAATTAAGCTTTGCTATATCAATTGGATAGCTTTCATTTTCAACATACCTAAGGGGGAGGTTAGGGCTAGTTTATAAATGTTTTTAAAATGACTGAAAATGTTTTTTAGTGAAAATAAATTTGAAACCAATCTCAATAAAAATCTAAGTAGATCCTAGAAAAACACTTAAAGTGTTTTCTGCAAGAAGCACATATCTGGTGCTTCCTAAAAAGATAATTGAAGTGCTTTTGGCAACCAAAATCAATTTACAAAAACACTTTCAATTATTCAAAAAGTCATTTCAACGAGTGCAATTCAGACGCTCTTGACAAATTGAAATAAAATATACAAAATCCTTGTATTTGGTTTTCTAGTCCTCCTCATATAGTGACCCTTGTATTTGGTTTTCTAATCCTCCTCATGGAGCGACTTCGAAAGTGTTCTTTGACTTAGTTCACTAGGAATCCTAAGTGAATCCAAGTTGTAATTTACTATGTTTCATAAAAAATAAAAAAAATAAAAAAATAAAAACATGATGGCAATTGGTCACAATCCCTAATGGGCTAATTTATTAATTAACACTTTGGGTCAAAAAGCCCAAAATGAGCTTGAACTTTATGGGCTTTAACAGAAATTGGACTGCCCAATCAGCCTCGAATTATATCGGGTTTTTCTCGGGTTGAACTTCGGGTCGTCAGGACACACCAGACAGAAAATCCAAAAGGGGTATAAGAGTCATTTCACAATAACGCTATTTCTTCTTCAGTAGAAGTTGATATTTTCTTCCCCAGTCAGCTGTAAATCAAACAAAAACCGTTTTCAAGCAATCACCTTTCTTCTGCTAACTGCCATGGATGCCGCTTCGTGCTCAATTCTCCGAGCTCAGCCCTTTTCTTCCACCGCCGCCGTTTTCCCGCCAAGTAACAACCCCACCGCCCGCTTCTTCGCCCTCCCCAAGAACAACCCCAACTTGGTCCCTTCATTTTGCTCCACTTTCCCAAGAAACTCAACTTTTCCCGGAAAATGCCTGCACTTCGATCGGTTCACCGCTTTCAGCTCGCTATCCAGGGCTCAGGACCAGAACCCATCTCAGGAACTCGCTGTTCTCCTCGAAGTCGACGGGTGGGACGATTTCTTTCTCCTTCTTACTCCAAGCATTTCAATTTAATTGCTTTCCTTTACTTCACAGCTTCTTTGTTTTATTTTTATTATTTTCTTGGTTTATTGAAGCTGTTTTTTGCTGCATTGTTCGAATTGGAGTTGGGTTTTCTCGGAGACCTTTTTCTTGATGATTTCTCTTTGTTTCTTTCAGGGTTGTTATGGATGCTTATCGGTTGGGGAACCGCTAAACCTTCAATGCAGGTGAGAAAATGCAGTATTTTCATCCTATTGTATTAAATTTTCTTGATTAAATTGCGTTTTATGTGTTAATATTACTGTATTTTTTCTTGTGATATATTGGCAGCATTTAAGAAGCTTGGACTTGACTGTGCAAGTTGGACAGAGCCTGTTTACTTGGATCTCCTAAGGTGGGAAATTAAAATGATGAGTAAAGATTCATGAATTTAGATTATTTAATTGGTTTCTTGTTCTTTAAGTTATTTATTTGGTTTCTTTTTCTTTAAGTTATTTAGTAGGCTTGAAATCATGATTCATGACTTGCTTCAATCTAGTATGAGTCAATTTAATTACATTTCCAAGTGTGTATCTGGGTCGTAGGGTTTTTCGATATGAAAAATCACAAGATTCTGACCCATATTACTTGTTCGTTTTACAATCATTCTTTGCCTTATTCATCATAATTGGTTCAGATAAGCGTCTGGACTAAAGGTTTATCAATTTTTATACTTAAGGTTCTGAAATGTAGTTTATGTAATTTTTCAGGAAGAGCGCTGGTGATGAGCAAAATATGGTGAATTTGTATTTTAATCGGGTGTGTTACTCTTTTGTCGTCTTTCAAATGAATGAATAGCTTGAAGTAGCTTTTCGAAATTTTCCTTCATTTAGTATCTTTTCTTCTGAATCTACTGTTAATCTGTCCTGCAGATTGGTTGGCCTAGTTCATTGCCTACAAGTGAGAAGGAGGCATTTGTGAAAAATGTTCTGCAAAGAAGGTATGGTCTTATTAAGGGCAAAGAAGGTATGGTTTTAGGGATGCATCTCAACATTTATTTCTGATCTTACCACTGAGATACAAGTCTAGACTTAGGTACTTGATCATACACAAAAGGAAATATTATAGTCTTTTGAGTCAAGATTTTGATCATATAGTTATGTATACTGAGGAACAAAAATAAGGAAAATTTATAATTCCAGGGCTAATGAGGGATCTGCTTTCGGTTAATAACAATAATAAGAGAACTGTTTGTATATTTTTCCAGGGAAGGTGAGCAGGGCTGATTTAAAAACAACAGAACCTTTTTATTGTTTTCCACTTGAAGCCACCTATAAAAATTATCAATTTTACACAAAAGAACTGGCTGCTTGTCTGAGATAAGTGCAAACTCATTTCACTTGTTACTTTGATAGCTTATTATTTTGTATCTTACAATACAAGGTAAAACCTTAAAATTACAAAACACATTAATGAATGGGAGAGTAAATGTCCTTTTATTTTCGACTTGTATCTAAAAAGTAATTAAGTCATGCTTTCCCATATGGAGAATGAAAGTAGCTAATATTAATTTGTTTTTGGCAGAAAATTGCAATGGATGAGTTTCTGATGTCAGAAAGCTTGACTTTACGACCTGGAGTTGAAGAGTGAGATTCTGATGACAGAAAATTTACTTGGATGATTACACAATCTTTTAGCTCTCAAATATACCGAGCCTAAATTTCTGCTTGATATTTTTACCTTCTTCAAATATGGATAGCATGGACTAAAACCATGTGCAAAACCTCTTTATTTGTACTCATTTAGTCATTCTTGGCTTCAGCTATACTTCCGGAATTTCCAAAATTTGGAATTAGCTTAAAGCAATACATAGAACTTGGGTGTGAATATTTTTCACCATGACCAGCATTTGGAAATTCTGCTGAAGTGTTGCCAAAGAAATGATGTGAAATCGAAGGTAGCTTGCTACTTGTTATTTTATTTCAAGAATATACCAGACTTTTGCTCGCAGAAGTTTTGGCTTAGACTGGGCCTTAGGCATGCTGGGAGTTTATTCTTGACAAATATTCGCGAGTCTATTGGTTGATAGTCTAGATGAACTGATGATCCTAAATCTATAGGAAGCTAGAAGTGATGAACCATTGACAAACAAAAACAACTGGACTAGAAATAATCAGTTTACCTTTAGTGAGATTTCATTTGCATGTCAATGCCATGTCTAGTTGGATGTTTGTGTATATCTTGTTTCTCCATTGTTTCCAACAGTTAGACTTATTTTCTCCTTTCCATTTGCAGGTTTATTGATGATACATACAAGTAAGGGATACCTGTGGTTGTACTGACAACTTATAGTAAGAGTGGGTATCGAATTGCCAGGTAATAACAAACATTTTATTCTTTGTTTTTATGCCTTTTTTTTGTTGAGTTTCCAGACAGTTATGAACATGCTCTGGGCTTTGGAGACTATGGAATGCACTGTAGCTATGACTATAATTGGACAGTAGTTTCTTTCGATGTGGTCATAAAGGACTCTGCCACCGACATAGCTGCAATTTTATATTTTATTTTTTCATCCCAAATTTCTGCAATAGCACAGATTCTAGTGTCACTTGACAGCATATGCGATTTCCATTGTGGAAAATAGTACATTGAATTATGATAAGTTTTAATGCGACTGATTGATCTATTAATCATTCTTAAGCAACTTGTCATTAGCTCTTTGTTTGCAAGTTAAATACAGTAAAAGTATGCTAAAAAATGTAGTTAAGTACACAGAAAAGCACATATACACATACATATTTGTGTGCATATAATATTGAGCCAAAAGCTGCAGTTAAGTACTCTCTATTAATCCTTACCACCACATACCAGTTTTAGTTCATTATGTTCCTTATGGATGGTATAGGACTGTGCTAATACTCCATTTAACACTTTATAAATGTCAGATCAGTTGTTGGAAAGCTTGGCGAGGAAAGAATTTCAAAGCTAAAGATTGTCGGAGATAAGGAAATTGAACAGAGTTTGTGTACCCAACTAGTAAACGATACAGGATTATCATCTGGTATGGATGAGCAAGTAGCTAAGGAGGCAATAAAAGCAGGTAGACTCTTCATCTTGGGTTGATAGTCATGTATATGTTTTGTGATATACATTTTTCCAGTGCAGAAGGTTGGGTAGTAAGGGGCTCTGTTATTGGTTTATGGGTCAGTTTCTGCTGAGAAACAAAGGATTGCAGAGGAGGTTGCATCTATGCTAAAGCTGAGTGTAGATATTGATACTAGCCCGTCTGAAAGGTTGGCATGTTTCATTGATTTTTATTGTTTGTTAATGTTAATTCGGTGCTTTCAAGGTTTGTCTGTGTCCACTGATTATTTTTGTTTTGTGGGTTTTCTGATGTTCAGGGTTTAAGAGACTTATGATTTTGTCATGTTTATATATGATTCTGCTTACATTAGACTAGGAAGAGATTATATGCCAATTTTGAACCGTTTGAACCGTTTGTGGTATTTAATTCTTTGCTCTTATGGTCGGCAAATGCTGTGCAAGTTCTTGTCCTTGTTTTCTTTGCTACGGTATTTACTTTTCTTGATCGCAATTTAATATTTCAGCGTCATATTAGTTGTCTTAATAACTGGGTAGAGTACTAGGCTGTCTATTCTATGACCGAATTTCTTGTTCGCTTGGGCTGATTCCAACTATTGACTTGACGTGTTAATTGTTTTGTTGCAGGAAGCCAGTCTGGTGTGGCTGGAGCTGAGCGAGTGGGCATGCCGTGTGTTGTTTTATGAAGCAGGTGAAGGCTCTTTTTGCTTCATTAATATGTTCCTGTTGCAGATTCTCACCTACATTTTACGTGCTTCATTTTTGAATTGCTCAGAACAAATCTCTGCCAGTTTACAATTGCTTTTTCCTGTGTTCATGTAGTTTGACGGCTTAGAGCTGTTTTAATTTCTCAAACAATTTTTATCCGTTAATTTAACCATGATAAAATTGTAAAAGTTCTCAAGAAAGAAGGAAATACATTAAAACTTTTTGTACCTTCAACAAGAAGCAAACTATTTTATTTTTACACAAATGATATTGGAGAGGCGGATTCGAATTCATGTTCTTAACCAATTCAACTACAAGTCAAACAAATTTAACGGACATAAAACAAAAATATCGTGTACAAGAAATAAAATCGGGCATTAAACTAGTATTGATCAAGGACCAGGTGATGATCCTAAAAGTGCGAGACCCACATTACACGCAGCCGCTGCCGTACCAAGTGCTAATTTTATAGCTAATCGCCTTTTATGGTGCTTATGAGCCTCCTGAAAATACAAAGTAGCAAAGAATTATAAAAGCTTCACGATATAATCTAGGAATTAAATTAAATTAAATGTAAGATAAGACGTGATCCGTTATAAAATATACCACGTCTGAAGTAGCTTTCTCGATATGTTTCTGAGTCCTTTCTTTGAACTTGTCCCACAATTGTTGGCATTGTGCCGATGTGAATAAAGCATCCTTCAAAGAAACCTAGTTCGGAGTTAATTCTCAATAACAAATTAGTAGTTCAGTTATATACACACACACACACACACACACACACACACTTCCTGTTTTATGTGATCTATATCTATACTTCTAACTATCTATTACTAGAATGTCTTTGCCAATTAAAAATCAATAAAAATATTATTATACCCTTCCATGCATAATTAAAAGAAAACCAATGAAATTACTATTACCTTATACATAAACTACATATTAATAAAATCATATTTGTCAAACAAAAACCAATAAAATTACTATTATACCCTTTATGCATAAGTGAAAATAATAGAAAATAAAAAATATAGGCATTAAAGTAATTTCGCACGAAACAGGTTTTTGCTGCTTTTTTTTTTCCTTCCTCACCCACATATGACCATAGTTTTACTTCTCTACTTCTCTCTCCCGCTTCCTACTTTTTTCTTTTTTTAATTTTAATTCCAATTTCTTAATTTTTTAAATTGTCATACATTTAAACACACAGATAATACTAGAGAGACTAAATTTGTAAAATTTACAAATTAAATGATGTGTTACCAATAAGAATGAGCACGTTTATTAACGCTTAAGTAATAATCAAATAATCAAATTTCATGTCTTTTGTTTACAAAATTTTGTTTATAAATTTAGTCTTTCTAGCATTATCCTTAAACACACACATAGTGTATGACTTTTATCTAGGGGGGATACCAAATTTGTAGACTAAATTTCGTAAACTAAATGATATAGAAGTTGATTAGATTATTACTTAAGTCTTGATTAACATGCGTATTTTTTTTATTAATAACATATAATTTAGTTTGCAAATTTAGTTAACCTAACATTACTTATTATATAAATTAAGCAAAACACATTAAATTAGTAAATACCTTTTGCCAGCTCGAGGGAAGAGCGTCTTCAGTCTCTTTCATTAAACAAGAAAAGAGAATTTCTTCAACATAATTCGGCTTCTCGTCCAAGTCAATGACAGACATAACCGCCAAAATCTTAAGACACTGCACAAAAAAGAGATGAAAAAAAAGGTTACAAATTAAACAAAAACACAATAATGTAATGTTAATGTTAATCCTCCGTTGATTAATATTAAATTAAGTTGTTCTCAGTGATTACAGCAGAGCGGGCTTCTTTTGTAGCAGCTGTGATTTGCTTCGTCTTTTTCCAAATCCTAGGCTGTGAATGGCTATCGTAACAGAAGACGCTTGCAAACCTGAAAATTGTTAACCAATTAAATTAGGCAACCAGAAAATGACAAGAGTATTATATACAGTGACAAATTTGCTTTACCTCAGTTTCATTTGGGTCAAAACTTTATCAGCAACAATATTGTCTCTTGCTTTTTGCTCCACCACGTTTCTGGCAAAGTCGCGTAAATCTTGCCCCATTGCGTTGAATTCTTTTTCGTTCAACTCAAAACTAACTTTTATAGTTGATAACCTTGCCATTGCATTTTCAGTCTCAAGCATAAGAATTCTTCTTATTGAAACCCACATGTCTTCTCCACCATGCGCAAACGCTGGGTCTGCTTGACTAGTTAAACATGCAACAAGTTGTTCCTACAGTCAACATTATACAAAGTTTCCCAAATAAATAATTTTCTTTTATTCTTAATACAACGATATGATTTACGCTGAGGGGTGGGGAGATTTTTCGGCTAAGCCTAAGCCCCACAATGACAAAGTCATGATAAATTGATAACGAACTTGTCATTCAAGGGAGTCTAACCTAATAATTTCCACTTATAAATGAAGAGAAAATAGCATTATACCGTAGTACTAGATGCTCCTAATTAAGTAATTTACGTAATAATGTATAATCAACATATAATTTATTTAATAATTCTATATATTGAATGAAGCACATATAACTGACTACATTGAGTTTAGTCTCTAAGAAGTTAACCCTATCATTGCTCATACACTATCTATTAGTCTCTAAGAAATCAACAAGTTACTGGTATACGGTCTGTAATATGGAGATTAACTCTATCATTGTACGTGCGACTAGCATATATTAGACAGTGTGGAACGAAATTAGTTTTGTGTAGAAATATTACCTCATATTTGTGCTTCAATTCTGACAACTTTGCACTACGGACACATAATGCATGTGCATTTATATCACGTTGAAGCTTTTCTACAATGCTTGAGAAACTCCAATTACTATGTTGTACGGCAGCATCTGCACGGATAGCTTGCATGGTTAATTCAAGAGAGTTTTAACGAAAAACTTACAGTATTGTTCATTTTAACGAAAAATCATATTTTTATACTAAAAAGTCAAACCTGATACTGTTCACTTTATCCTTTATTTTGTCCTTATCGTTAAAACTCCAAGTTGTCAAATCCTTTTCATTAGTTTTTTTTTAATTCAATTCATCCAATTAAGTAGATGAAATGCCAACAATGATGTAAGTTTAAAGAAATTTGTGTCTTGAGAAACAATTAACAGAATGACAAAGGATATTATATATACCAGCACATCCTTGGCGAAATTCTTGCATGGAAGAAAGAATACAGGCACGAAGAGACGCAGCAAATCCTTTTTCTGGGTCCAGTGACGTCACCCCCGCTTTAAACCTTTCAAATGCATTAGAGCTTAAGTGTCCCAACATGGTATTGTACACAGCCTGGGCACACTGTACAGTCCAGAAGAAAGCAAGATTACGAATAGGAATGGTAATAAATAAAAATAAAATAAAAGGGTGATTGACATTGAATTATGGTTCGGTTGAATATTTCATATATACATATATTATATAGGCGAAACTCTTATTTTTCAAATAACAACCTATCTAAATTTAAACATTCAAATAAAACCTAAATTTCAAATACCCTGTCATGTAGACAAATTTATGACCAACTATTACAATACATTTACAACTTATGCCACAAAATCCTAATTTGGTCAATAAATGTTATTGCTCATCCTAATTATGATGAGCAATTAAATCCATATGGATATTTTACCTTTCTTGCATCATAAAATTAGCAACATATATAAATTAATTTACCAAATTAAAAAAAAAGACATATCTTGTACGGAAAAAATCATATTGTTTGAATTATGTAATTACCTACATACAAATTAATTTACCTACTTATAAAATATTATACTAATTTTCCTGCATTTTGAATCATGTAATTTACCTACACACAAATATTATACTAATTACCTACATTTAAATTAATTTACCTATTCCAAAAAAAAAAAAATAGTGATATTAGATAATGTTCGAATGTTGTGGGTTTGTGCTTGTGCGCAATTAAATAAACTTTTAATCTAATGTACATAAATCATGTAGGTAAATTAGACCATTTTGGAATTAAATTAGACCCTTTAAATTTGGTTTGACGGAATAGGTAAATTAGACTATTTTGTAGGTAAAAATTGTGCGGAACATATAGCTTTTGTTTTGTGTATTAGGGATTGGAGTATTAGCCGAAGTTGTTTAGGTTTAATATTGTGTTGGTAGGTAAATTAACTTATATATTTAATGCACAAAATTATGAAATTAGTATTATTATTTTTCAATTGGCACGTTAAAACAATTTGAAAGTTAATACATTGAATATAGTCAATATACAATGAATGGCATGAATTATTTTGTAAAATATAATATAACAGGTCACTGATCCAAAAATCTCATCCAAGTATTAATAGGGGTAGTTTAGGTATTCGGAAAATACACAATTTGAAAAGTCAAACTTAATTAAAGAAATTGTTTAGTTGGAGACTAGTCAATGGGCTTTATTCAAGAAAACAAAAGGAGATGGATTTTAGTAGAGGAAAATATAGTTTCAAGGGGTAATATCAAATTTTCAGTATTATATATCGTATCTCTTGAACATGCATTCCTCATACATGGAACTGCCTAAGAAACTGAACCTGTATATTTACCAAGAACATGAACTTACAAGCACAAATATCATACTGCTCTGCCCCTATTTTCTTGAACTGCAGTATGCAGACCTAACTAAAATTTTTGTTAACTACACTATTAGAAAAATACTCGTAGAGCACAAACTTACAAGCACAAATATCATACTGTGCCCCTATTTTCTAACATTAAGAACAATTTAGTTCTATTCTTATTCTTTTGTTTTGAGGGAAAAATACTTACTCAGTACAAGTTTACATTGGGCACAAAGAACCGTCCTAACCTGTAAACAATAAGTCTTTGATACAAAACAATTAGCCAGAGAGGAAGATAAAGTAGCCATACCTGCAATGCTCTCGACTCCAACATGTGTCGTTTCATCTTCCTTACACCTTCGTCATAGTACACGACCTCCTTGTCATATCTGTATGTGATGCACAAATAAGCAAGATATATATTTCTCAAGGCATACAAATAAAGTCATAAGTAGTAAAGCTAGAGTGGAACTTACTCAGAAAGATAGTTGTATAGAATTGAGCTGACCCTTCTACCGAAATCTGGTACAGGACCAGTTTCAGCAGCTTTTTGCAATGCCAACCAGCCCTAAATTATGTTCATGTAAGACTTTGTTCACGGTATAGAATTAAGTAGAAGAATTTCAAAGCATCAAATGGATTATAGTTAAGTATAAGATACATACTTTATTTTCCATCAACTGTTTGAATATATCGGTGGAAATCTCTTCACACCGCAAAGTGGCAACCATAACCTAATTAAGGTACAGTGTATGCATAAGAGAGGTGATGGCCACAAATGAATTAAATTCTTTAACTGGGAGTTGAGGAAACTAATAAACCTTGTGAGCAGGAAGGTCCAGGTCCTTGTTCAGTTTGATTACTCTCCACATCTCCTGTGTACTAAGAGAAAATCCTGAGGCAGGGACAACGCTCCTTTTATCACCAACAAGGCCTCCTGAAGAAATAGAATTGACAAAGCGCTGCCTCAGTTGAGCAACCTGCATGATATGTGCAGGCCATACTTGTAAGTATCTATCTACTAAACTCTAATAATGAATGAATTTACTTAAGGCTGTTTGACAACAGTTTTCGGCTTTCAATTTAACAAAAATAAAAACATATATACTATTCGTTTGGTAACTAATTAATTAAAAATTTCGGGGAGGTGAAATTTTGAACCCATGCATGGGTACAACCCTACACCCTATGTGGATTCATACTCTCAGCACGCCCCCTCACATATGGTAAATTTCTTAGCCTAATGCAGGTGCGGCTTTTGAACAGATGCTAAAACACACCCCAGGAATTAAAACCCAAGAAAAAGGAAAATGGAATGGACAATATTATGATTTTAGGACATGGTGAATTGCTTCTGATATATATAGTGTAAGGGTTACCTCCTCCTTGAACTTCTCCTCCTTCTCTTGATAGTTGGACAAAGCAACTACTTGTACCTTTATTTCAAAAATGTTAAAATCAGAGACAAAGAACACACAGGCTGTCAGACTGTCAGCGAGCAGTGGAAGGTGTAAGAGATCGAACTCACATTAAAAAACACAGTGAGCGGGGAATTTTTATGGGCTTGAGGCTTTGAAACTGCATTCCACATCTGCAGAGTGTAGAACATAGATATATATGAGCAGATACAAAAGAAGGAAAAAAAAAAAAAAAAAAAAGAATAAAAAGGGGACCGACAAAACTACCTTCTCTGCGTCTTCCCTTAAGCGCTTCTCCAGCAGTACAAAAGGGGCCTAAATGAACACCGGCAAACAAGACAGTTAATATGTAAACAAATTTATAATTTTTCCCACGCACTCTTCATCCTCTTACACACTTTTCTTTTATTTCTGACTATCAAACTGAAACAACTAACAAAAATTAATCAAGGGTGTCTAAAGGAAAGAAAATTGACGTGCATTTTCTATCATTTCTCTATATTTTTTATTTAAAAAAAATCATCCTTTTGATATGTTTCTCAGTACCTTTGATGGCTTGTCACGCACAACAAACATTAGCGTCGTTTTCTTAGGGGGATCGCTGAATAAGCGCATCATAACCTTTTACATATTCACAAACATTGACAAAAACCAAAAAGATGATTCAAAAACCAGAAAATGTCAAATAATAACAATGAATGTTGAGATATAAGTACATGGTTACAGATAAGATGAGCACCTGAAAAATAGTTTTTAGTAAAGGTTTGCTCGCAGCATGCTCCCGACCAATATCATGGTACCACCTGTATATATATAATATCCAAATAAGTACAAAAGATTTGATCTCTGTATATGGCTAAGATTGGCCATCAGTCAAGTAATTCCTGGGTTATCTAGTTAATGAGCTTACATATTTATGAGCAAAATGTCCGAAACTGCCAGCGCAAATAGGGCGATCCGTTTCTCGAATGTATTGTCATCCTGATTAAACCAAATTGCAGAGGAAGAAGTACGAAAAGTGAATATATACGAGGATTTGAGCTGTATTTGCCATATATATTGTGATCACTTATAATTACATGAATTTGTTCCAAATTAATTTCATTTAAAATGTTGCTTTTATTTTATTTTAGAGTAATGTTAGGTAGATCAACTTTTTAGATCCAATTTATAAACTATGTCTCAGTGTCACTAATAAAAAATAAGGACTTTAATCAATATTAAACCCTATACTTAAATAATAAGTCAATCATCAACAATCATGTCATATCCCTAGATTTGATATTTGATGTGCTCTTTGAAGTTCTGCAAGCACATGAAATCGAATGAAGATTCTCTGTGGATCCTCTTTATGAGGATATCCTCTACGGATTCTCTTTGTAAGGATCCTTGAGATCCGTGAATCGTGTCCGTTCATCATACATCGTGTGATCAGAAATCATTTTAAGTTTTATTATTCAAAATTGAACACAAATAGTACCTAAAAAAAATTGACCACATAATGTACGATAAACAGATACGATTCACATATTTCCGAAATTCTCACAAAGAGGATTTAGAGAGGATTTGGATTCGATGAAATCAGCCTCATTTTTGTGCGGCTACATTAATTATGGTTAGTGTCCATATATGGTGAAACGGGTGACCTGATATGTGACCACGTTAATAGTGTACGACAATTTAGCGTTTTAAATAGTGGGAATTATTTAGAAAAACGCCCATGAGTTTTTCTTCTGCTTTCCAAAAATAACATTAGTATAAGGTTTTAAATTATTTTCAAAAAAAAAAAGAGAGATTTTATTTGAACCCATATAATCTCTTTCTACACCCAACTTATTCTTTATACCCATATAGTTTTTAATTAAATTATCAATATCTCTTTAAACCCAATTTTACTACCTAAACTACCCTCACAAACCTAATATAATATGCAAATTTATCTTTACACTCATTTTAAAAATAAAAATCCAAAATCAGTGTTCTACAACTACTTTTCCACAACTCGTTGATTGAGAGTGTAATGTCCATACATATATGGAGTCGTGTTTGATGAATTGGTCAAACGAGCAATTTGGAATCGTGAAGTTATGTGGGTTTATTGATAAATTTTAGTTTGATTTCCGATTTTATCTTGTATTTGATGGTAATTATAAAATAGGGTAAAACTGACAATTCACATTTTAAATTTAAGTTAGGTGTAGAGTGAGGTTATATGGGTTCAAATAAAATTTCTCAAAAAAAAAATCATAGTGTTAGTTTTTCCATCTAAAAACTGAGATGTCATGATAAATTTTCACCAAATGATAAATTTTAGGGAGTTTTACTGATAGGGGGTGGGTGGGAGAGAGAGGGGGTGGTGACAATCGGGTAGAGAGGGAGAAAAGGCTGGTTTCACATGAATCGTTTTTAATCTTATATATATTTTCTAAATTCGATTTTAATCGCTCATCAAAAGTCATATATATAGCCATGTGATTATGTGAAGATGGTAAAAGTATGGTGGGAAATAATGCCACAGAAGCAAAGACCAGAACAGCAAGCACTGGATTACTGAATGTTTTTGTTTCCCATTTTGCAGAAACCCCAGCCATCAACCCTAAGCACATGACCAGCAATACCAGCCTAACCCAATACCACAAAGACGCTAACTTTCTTGGAGAAAAGGGCTCCGCCACCGCCCCAAACCCCTCCGCCCCCTTTCCTTTTAATTTTTATACTATGCTACAAAATTTATTTTCTATATTTAATCCACATGGCATTACACAATTGGTTTTATCCTCACATGAATGCCACGTCAGCATCCTAACAGACTTTCTAATGGAAGTGGACGGCAAGGACAATTTTAATGACCAAGCCAATACATAAATGACTAAACTGAAGAGCTTGAAACATAAAAAACTACGCTGATGAGTTGCAAAAATATAAAGGCCATTTTTGATAGTCCGACTAAACATAAAAGTAATGCTAGAGAGATTAAAGTTGTAGATTAAATTTTGTAAACTAAATGACATGGAAGTTAATTATTGGATTATTATTTAAACGTTGATAAACGTGCTTATTTTTTATTAGTGACACATAATTTAGTTTGCAAATTTAATCTTCTTAACATTACTTTAAACATAAAGATGATTACCTCGCCTCTCTCACTGCTATCGCTACCCTCCAAATCCATGGCGATGGTGCAAGGCTCAATGTCGACACACTTGGCTATCCAAATGCCCTTCGTTGTTTGGCTCCTGAATATTTAATTAATTATACACAAATACTGATTACATATATATAAACTAGCATATGTTTACACACTTTATGTGTATTAACACTTTTTATTTTTGTTTTTAAAATGGAAAATAGAGAGGCAGAGAGAGAACGTAGGTGGGAGTGGGAATGAGAGGATTTTGTTTTTTTATTTTTTAATTTCTAATATTCGATATATCTTAACGTCACCCATAGGTGATGCTTCTATAAAAAACAGTAAAATATGGTTAAGTGAAATTACATTATACTCATCATTTTTTGTGAGAGAGAGAGAGAGCGAGAGAGAGAGTAGTGCACATATGAGTGATCATGTGGAAACAAAGCATGCATGCTAAATGCAAAGTCAAAACTAACTAACTTTCCGCATTCTATTTTCATCTCCTGAAAGCCGGTGGCGAAAAGATGGTTCATCAAAGTGCTTTTCCCTGTGAGCCAAGCCAGCCAATTTCAGAAAACTATATATCATTTGTATTCAACAAATTAAAATTTAATTGATTGAAGTAAAAGGCTTTAGTACCTCCACTCTGAGGACCCATGATGGCAACAACAGCATAGGAGTTCCCGCACTTATCAAACTTAACTTTCTGTAAGAAGCTATTGAGCCCAGCAACATTGAATTCGTTGTTGCCACAGATGAGTTGTGTGGCGCAGATATCTTCCTTCATCATGACTTTGAGAGTCCAATCTAGCCTCTGAGAGAGAGAGAGAGAGAGAGAGAGAGAGAGAGAGAGAAAGAGAGAGAGAGAGAGAGAGAGAGATGATAGAAGCTGAAATGTACCTTGATTATCTATGATGCATGAATATGAAATTAGCAATTAGCATGGTTTACAGAGTTTACATATATATATATATATAGGCGTACGTTACCCTTGCCAATTCTTAATTTGTTATGATTTAAATTCATAATTGATATCATGAATCAATTTAATCTTTGTAGCTTGTATTGTTGCTAAAAAAGATTATGACTAAAAAGTTGGTAGTTTATTGTGTAATTTTTATTTTCGTTTAATTTTTTGGAGTTTTTATATTGGGACCAACCGATGCTAAAATCCTGGATTCGCCAATTGGTGCATATGCAAGACTAGCTCAACTCAAACCGGTCTAATTAGCCAAAACTGAAGACTAACACATTATTAATGTTAATTATGTACCCTTATCGCATTTAACAATTCTCTCAAGGGAAATTTTATTTGAACCCATATAACTTATCTTTACACCCAACTTAAATTTTAAATGTGAATTATCTTTTTTATACTATTGCATAATTACCATCAAATACAAGGTGAAATTAATAATAAAACTAAAATTTATTAATAAACCCACGGTTGATTCTAAAGACAACTGAGGGTCTGAGGCTCCTTCGAATTGGAGAATTAGGAATAAAGAACTTGGATTTAAGAATTCGGACAAGCATAAAACCTCCTCTCCTACTCCCCGCAACCTTAAAATCATCACTCTCTCTTCTACCAAAACAATGTCAGTGAGGTTAAAACCGAGGACAGATCTCAATGGCTAGAGAAATCGCTCTTGCCAGCCTTAACCCGCTTCTACCCACTTTCCAGAAGAATAAAAAATAACAATTAAAATCTTCATAAAGATGAGGGGGCTAGCTTAATAAATGACAAACCAGACAGTAATCGTTCTATATAATTTGTCTTTATATAATTATTATTACTACTGAGTGTGTATTTATAAAATGATTTTGAGTTATGGAATAGAGTTTAATTATTGTGGCAATGGGAGTGAGTGAAGCGGCAATGGGATGAACAATGGGATCCAATTCAGATAAAGCAGACTTTGAATGAATTGCAGAAATGTGATTTAGAGTTTTTGTTTTCTAAATGGGTCTAAAGATAAATTTACATATTAAATTAGGTTTGTGAGGGTAGTTTAGGCATTAAATTTTGGTTTAAAGATATATTGATAGTTTAGTTAATAATAATGTGGATGCAGAGAGTAAGTTGGGTGTATAAAGAAATTACATGGGTTCAAATAAAATTTTCCTTCTCTCAATTGGAAATTGTATATGATGGCTAGTTGCATATATATACACTCAGCAGTTGGTCGTAGTTGCCTATAATATGTATAATTGTATATGATGGCTAGTTGCATATATATACACTCAGCAGTTGGTCGTAGTTGCCTATAATATGTATACTCAGCAATTGGCTCGTAGTTGCCTATAATATATGTACTCAGCAATTGGCTCGTAGTTGCTGTTGGAACAATATTAAAAAATATGAAAATAACAATAAGAATTACAATAATAATTATTATAAAAATATTCACAACATCACATGTGTACAAAATTAATATAAACAACTAGAGAGAAAGTTAGAAAAACTGACAAACTTGGAGATTGAGGCTTGCATAAATGTAATGTCTTAAAGACAGAATTTCGTCCCTACTCTTGTGCTTATAGTTTGGTAGATGTCCGTCTTCTAGGATTCAACAATTTATAATCCGAAGTCAAAGCACTTCAATCTTTGGACTGAACTTCATATATTCCGTACTTTCAAGACATGACTCGGATTTTTACTAAGACATTGGAGAAAACTCTTCTCTTCGGTTCATTAGATATGTGGGATGTTTGAGTTTATATAGAACTCAAGCCATCCCTTTTGAAATATTGTGACTGTTGACTAAAGTTCCAACAGGCAACTCATGAATTTGAATTCAATTATGACATGCGATTCTTTTTTTTTATTCATATAAAAATTAAATATTATAATATTAATTATAATATTACAAATAGGCTTTTATTGGGTCTGTGAGAAGGTGAAAGTTTGTCGTGATTTAAATGTTTTTTCTTGGTAGGCTTACATCAAACAATATTAACAAATAGACATTTGTCGTATTAGTAGTGTCGGTACCCACATAATGACTTTGGACATTATTAAATGGGATGGTAGGTATTGATCTCCTTGCCTTTTTTGGTGTATTTTATATTGGCAATTGGGGTTGTATGAAGAAAAGATAGATTGTCAACATGGTACACCCGGTTGTAGTATAGAAACAATAAATAAATATAAACATACACTTTTGTATTATGTTATGATTTGTTGTACAGAGAATTGAGAAAACGGTTAAAGACAATTCCGAGTTTTTGAGTTATAGCAATTAGTAAATATATAATGACATTGATTAGTTTACTTAAGAGTTTAATCCTTCGTTGGTTTATTTGTGTGCTTGAGAATGAAAGTAATGAACATACTATGGAATTGATTTTCCTTATAATATTCATATAGATAAGGAATTGTTCCTTTTCTTAGCAATTATATGAAGTAGGCATATTATGCAATACAAGTTCTACATTCATTTAGTAAACATTGAGTTTATTTTTATCGAATAGTGACATTTGATTCAGGTATAAGTTTTTTAAATGTTTGTATTTTGAAAATTGATTTCAATGGCCTTTTATGATTATTTTTGTTTTTTGTTTTTTTTTTTTTTTGCGTACATAATTATGTGCTGCTTTAGGGACACCTACTGCAGTGGGCACAACTTATGAGACTCAGAAGGAATGACGAATGCTCCTTCCCCTTCCAGATGATCCCATGCTTAATGATCGTGAGTTTGAAAATCTTTGGCAACGATTTCAAAACAAAGAAAATTTTTGTTGTTAGTATTCCATCGACAGTTAACGAAGGTTTGTTGTAATTTTTTTCCTCTGTTTGATGTGTTCTAATGCTATGTTTTCCATTGCACAATTGATGAATATCTCTCTTATCTTTCAAACATAATCTTCCATACAATTTTCAATCCTACAGCAGAGCACAGATTGAAGTTTCTAGTTGAAACTAAACTTCAAAAACTAAAATCTATTGATCAATTCTTCAAGTTTGAAATGTCGAAGATTTTGGAGGAGGCATTGTGTCACGCCCCGATCCCGAGATAGGTCTAGTATCTACATGTGACGTCATCCATGCCCTTTCACCGGAATCATTGTGTCAATAGTAGTAATTTTTCTTTTATCATACGGTTGCATCTAACCTCTGTGTTAGATTTCATACGTACCCCAAGACGGGATCAAGCCATTCGTAATTCCCTAACATACCTCACTCTAATAAGAATTCCATCTCATATCAAAGCAAGCCATAATCACACCAATAGGCATCCAACAAAAGCATTAATTCAATTACCATTCATGTAATCCAATTATGTACACAAGTAATCAACCAATGAGATGAATAATAAGATAACATTCCACGAAGTTTACTATAATCAAACTCCGAAAATGTCTGTCGTATTTCCTCTACAAGAATTCCTAAACATTGCTCTCAGTTACTAATACAAGGATCCACCAACATGGCCAAATCCATTTTCACAATATAAGACATTACTAAATGCGAGACATGAACTTTAATCCTAGTCAAAGTACTTGGAATACTAATTAAACAACCCCCAATTCAAATGCCATTTTGGTTGACCTAATATAGCTTCATCATTGCCAATACGTTTGAATGGAAATAATTCTAGACTATAAGTGATTATGTGTTTCAGTAGGCATAAGTGCACCAATACATTAGGTCATTGAGCTTATAATTGTATAAGAAAATGGTTCTTTGAAACCCAATACATGCCGTATAAAGTGATTTAATAAACTCAATATCGATAAGTAAATTAGAATTAAAATTTAGAGAAGAACGAACATTGCAAAGCTGCAACCTCTTCTCCACAAAAGCTGCAGAAAAGCAGTTTTAGTCAACCAAGATTAACCTGATTTTGAACACTCATAACTATACCGGTTGATGCAAACTTACATGGGTTTCGAAACTTGTTTTGTGTACTTCAAAAGCATAAAAGATTTTTAGAAAACGGGGTTCTAAGTTGAAAGTAATGCAAGTTACAAAATAGAGTCTCGAAACTGGAAACCCAGTATTTGCTGCTATCTGGCAGTTTCAGGACTCAAGTTTGAATAAGATTTTGACATACCAATACTCAATGGAATTAAGTGAAATCAGTGGACATGTCTTGTTTTAAACCACGTAATATTGGCTCAAAAGAAATCCATGAGGACATAGAAATCAAGAG